ACCCCATCATTGGTGTCAGTGGGAGGAATAGTACCCCATCATTGGTGTCAGTGGGAGGAATAGTATCCCATCATTGGTGTCAGTGGGAGGAATAGCACCCCATCATTGGTGTCAGTGTCAGGAATAGTACCCCATCATTGGTGTCAGTGGGAGGAATAGTGTCCCATCCTTGGTGTCAGTGGGAGGAATAGCACCCCATCATTGGTGTCAGTGGGAGGAATAGCACCCCATCATTGGTGTCAGTGGGAGGAATAGCGTCCCATCCTTGGTGTCAGTGGGAGGAATAGTACCTCATCATTGGTGTCAGTGGGAGGAATAGTGCCCCATCATTGGTGTCAGTGGGAGGAATAGTGTCACATCAGTGATGTCAGTGGAAGGAATAGAGTACCATTGTTGGTGTCAGTGGGAGGAGATACACCCCATTGTTGCTGTCAGTGGGATGAATAGTGCCCCATTGTTGGTGTCAGTGGGAGGAATAGTGCCCCATCATTGGTATCGGTGGGAGGAATAGTGCCCCATCATTGGTGTCAGTGGGATGAATAGTGCCCCATCATTGGTGTCAGTGGGAGGAACAGTGCCCCATCATTGGTGTCAGTGGGAGGAACAGTGCCCCATCATTGGTGTCAGTGGGAGGAACAGTGCCCCATCATTGGTGTCAGTGGGAGGAATAGTGGCCCATCATTGGTGTCAGTGGGAGGAATAGTGCCCCATTGTTGGTGTCAGTGGGAGGAATAGTGCCCCATCATTGGTGTCAGTGGGAGGAATAGTGGCCCATCATTGGTGTCAGTGGGAGGAATAGTGCCCCATTGTTGGTGTCAGTGGGAGGAATAGTGCCCCATCATTGGTGTCAGTGGGAGGAATAGTGGCCTATCTTTAGTGTTATTGGGAGGAATAGTGCGTCATTGTTGGTGTCAATGGGAATAGTACCCCAAGGGCTAGATAAAGGCAAGCAAAGGGCCACAGTTCAGAGATCACTGCCTAGGCCAGGGGTAGGTAACCTGAGAGCCGCAGAACTACAAGTTCCATCATGCCTCTGCAAGTCATAGCTGTAACTGTCAGTTTTGTAATCTTTGCAATGCCTCATGGGAAATGTAGTTCCACAACAGCTGGAGAGCCGCAGGTTGCCTACCCCTGGGCTAGATGGTCAGCCGATCTAGAGCCCAAAAATGCTGTAGTTTTCTGATTACCTTGGGGAGAGAGTATACTGCATTTTGGCCAGAAGATGGAGCCGATGTTCCTAGAGATGAATCTGGGAATTACAGCCGGAATTCAGGCAGCCTGCACCGATGTGCCCGACATTCGTCCAACAAATGTTTAATAGACCCCTCGGTGTGTTGCTGAATGTGGTGCAGGCATTGCACCCGCATGAACGGCCCGTAATGTTCACCTCTAAATGAATCAAAGGATGTCCACTTAATCTTTTTTAGATACTACAGCAGACGGTCAGAGACTGCACACATGGTACAGGAGATGGTCAGAGACTGCAGACATAGTACAGGAGATGGTCAGAGACTGCACACCTGGTACAGGAGATGGTCAGAGACTGCAGACATAGTACAGGAGATGGTCAGAGACTGCACACCTGGTACAGGAGATGGTCAGAGACTGCAGACATAGTACAGGAGATGGTCAGAGACTGCAGACATAGTACAGGAGATGTTCAGAGACTGCAGACATAGTACAGGAGACGGTCAGAGACTGCAGACATAGTACAGGAGACGGTCAGAGACTGCAGACATACTACAGGAGACGGTCAGAGACTGCAGACTTACTACATGAGATGGTCAGAGACTGCAAACATACTACAGGTGACGGTCAGAGACTGCAGATATACTACAGGAGATGGTCAGAGACCAGAGACTGCACACAACATGCTACAGGAGACGGTCAGGGACTGCAGACATACTACAGGAGACGGTCAGAGACTGCAGACATACTACAGGACACGATCAGAGACTGAGGACGTACTACAGGGAGACGGTCAGAGACTGCGGACGTACTACAGGAGACGGTCAGAGACTGCGGACGTACAACAGGAGACGGTCAGAGACTGCAGACATACTACAGGAGACGGTCAGAGACTGCAGACATACTACAGGAGACGGTCAGAGACTGCGGACGTACAACAGGAGACGGTCAGAGACTGCGGACGTACAACAGGAGACGGTCAGAGACTGCGGACATACTACAGGAGACGGTCAGAGACTGCAGACATAGTACAGGAGACGGTCAGAGACTGCGGACGTACTACAGGGGATGGTCAGAGACTGCAGACGTAGTACAGGAGATGGTCAGAGACTGCGGACATAGTACAGGAGATGGTCAGAGACTGCGGACATAGTACAGGAGATGACCAGAGACTGCAGACATACTACAGGAGATGACCAGAGACTGCAGACATAGTACAGGAGACGGTCAGAGACTGCGGACGTACTACAGGAGACGGTCAGAGACTGCGGACGTACTACAGGAGACGATCAGAGACTGCGGACGTACTACAGGGGATGGTCAGAGACTGCAGACATAGTACAGGAGATGATCAGAGACTGCAGACATAGTACAGGAGATGACCAGAGACTGCAGACATAGTACAGGAGATGACCAGAGACTGCAGACATAGTACAGGAGACGGTCAGAGACTGCGGACGTACTACAGGAGACGGTCAGAGACTGCGGACGTACTACAGGAGACGGTCAGAGACTGCAGATATAGTACAGGAGACGGTCAGAGACTGCAGACATACTACAGGAGACGGTCAGAGACTGCAGACATACTACAGGAGACGGTCAGAGACTGCAGACATAGCACAGGAGACGGTCAGAGACTGCAGACATACTACAGGAGACGGTCAGAGACTGCAGACATAGTACAGGAGACGGTCAGAGACTGCAGACATAGTACAGGAGACGGTCAGAGACTGCGGACGTACTACAGGAGACGGTCAGAGACTGCAGACATACTACAGGAGACGGTCAGAGACTGCGGACATAGTACAGGAGATAGTCAGGTTGGTCAGCAGGGCTGTATACAGATTCCTACAGTGAGAGGCAAACTCTGAACATTTCCTGGGGTGTGGTGGATCCTTCAAGAGCCTGTACAGGGCATATGGAATGGAATCCGATGGGGTTGCCTCTTCCTTACATTACCTTTGTTGGGAAGGAGGAACAGCCCTCTAGATGGTTTGTGGAAATGCTGCCCCCCTATGGAATGTGCAGGTCACAGCCAGGTGTGAATAGTCCGGACATATCTATATGAAGAATCCTATATACTGTAATGGAGTGTAATGATCTACTTACCTACATACTGCTGCCACTTGGCACACAAGCCCCTTAGGCTGACCCTCCTGGTTACTACTAACCAATCAGGTTAAAGCTGCCATTTTACTGGTCACCTCCCACTATTAGAATTTGGCATGACGGGTTAATCATGTGACCTGTAATTTGAAAGAAAAAGAAAAATGTTTCACCTTCTTCAGGCTTCCTAGAACATTCAACCCCAAATACATAGCAAAGTCTACTTCCCACATCTGACCATGGCAGCCAATCAGAATCCAGGTTTTTGCTGATGACTTTGGTATTGAGAAGTTTGTTTGAGGTCACACTGGATATCATCGTTGTCACCCTTCACAATGATTCAAAGTGGCGGTTCAGCAAAGTGCTGCTGAAATCGGCTCCTGGTGCCTACTCAGGGAAGGAGGAGCTGGGAACACTTCTCAGAGTGGGAGGAGCTGGGAACCCTTTTAGAAGATGAAGAACTGGGAACCCGTATCAGCGTAGGAGGATCTGGGAATCCTCAGAGCTGGAGGAGCTGGTAACCCTTCTCAGGATGAGAGGAGCTGGGAACCCATCTCAGCGTAGGAGGATCTGGGAATCCTTAGAGTGGGAGGAGCTGGGAACCTTTCTCAGGATGGGAGAAGCTGAGAACCCTCTTCAGAATGAGAGGAGCTGGGAACCCTCTTCAGGATGAGAACTAAGGAACCTCAGGGTGGGAGGAGCACGGAACCCTTCTATGGGTGGGAGAAGCTGGTAATCCTTCTCAAAGTGGGAGGAGCTAGGAATGCTTCTCAGGATGGGAGGGGCTGGGAATCCTTCTCAGGATGGGAGGAGCTGGGAGCCCATTTCAGGATATGAGGAGCTGGGAAACCTCAGGGTGGGAGGATCTGGGAACCCTTTTATGGGTGGGAGAAGCTGGGAATCCTCAGAGTGGGAGGAGCTGGGAACCTCTCAGTGGGAGGAGCTGGGATCCCTTCTATGGGTGGGACGAGGTGGAAACCCTTCTCAGAACGAGAGGAGCTGGGAACCCGTTTCATGAAGGGAGGAGCGGGGAATCTTCCTCAGGCTGGGAGGAGCTGGGAACACAGATGTGGAGGTCTCACCACAAGAAATTGATGACATTGGTAGGTGGTCACTGATTCCCCCCAGGATTGACTGTCCATCTACAGAGGGCTGATCGTCTGTTGTAGATGGCAGTTTATTCGATCAAGTGGCTGCCGTAGGACGACTCTGGGGAGATGGAAGCTTCTCATGGTGGTGTGGTCAGCCAGTAGCAGATACACAACGTCGGTCCTCGCTGTACCATTGCGGCACTTCTGTGTGTTCACCAATAAACATGGATTGCACTGACAGTACAACTGCTGTGTGTGTCCTCTGTGTGTCACGTGTCATCTCTGAGAAAAGTGTCGGTGTGATATCTGTGTGTTCCACATATTACACGGAAAGAGAACCTGTCACCAGACCACTGAGCTCAACAAAACCTTCCATAGGATGATATGTTCATATACAGTATAGTATTTATTCATGTTATTACCCTGTAAAAACCTTCCTTGTGCGACATACGAAAGCCCCGAGACTGCTGCTGGGTGCCGCCATCTTGCTTCCAACGATCTTTTTAGCTATCCATAAGGGACAATCTTCCCACTGACCCCAATGTAAGGGACAGTCTTCCCACTGATCAATGTAAGGGACATTCTTCCCACTGACCACCAATGTAAGGGACATTCTTCCCACTGACCCCCAATGTAAGGGACATTCTTCCCACTGACCACCAATGTAAGGGACATTCTTCCCACTGACCACCAATGTAAGGGACATTCTTCCCACTGACCACCAATGTAAGGGACATTCTTCCCACTGATCACCAATGTAAGGGACATTCTTCCCACTGACCACCAATGTAAGGGACATTCTTCCCACTGACCCCCAATGTAAGGGACATTCTTCCCACTGACCCCCAATGTAAGGAGCATTCTTCCCACTGACCCCCAATGTAAGGGACATTCTTCCCACTGACCCCCAATGTAAGGGACATTCTTCCCACTGACCCAATGTAAGGGACATTCTTCCCACTGCCCCCCAATGTAAGGGACATTCTTCCCACTGACCCCCAATGTAAGGGACATTCTTCCCACTGATCACCAATGTAAGGGACATTCTTCCCACTGACCACCAATGTAAGGGACATTCTTCCCACTGCCCCCCAATGTAAGGGACATTCTTCCCACTGACCCCCAATGTAAGGGACATTCTTCTCACTGACCCCCAATGTAAGGGACATTCTTCCCACTGACCACCAATGTAAGGGACGTTCTTCCCACTGCCCCCCAATGTAAGGGACATTCTTCCCACTGACCCCCAATGTAAGGGACATTCTTCCCACTGATCACCAATGTAAGGGACATTCTTCCCACTGACCCCAATGTAAGGGACATTCTTCCCACTGATCACCTATGTAAGGGACATTCTTCCCACTGATCACCAATGTAAGGGACATTCTTCCCACTGACCACCAATGTAAGGGACATTCTTCTCACTGACCCCCAATGTAAGGGACATTCTTCCCACTGACCCCCAATGTAAGGGACATTCTTCCCACTGACCACCAATGTAAGGGACATTCTTCTCACTGACCCCCAATGTAAGGGACATTCTTCCCACTGACCCCCAATGTAAGGGACATTCTACTCACTGACCCCCAATGTAAGGGACATTCTTCCCACTGACCCCCAATGTAAGGGACATTCTACTCACTGACCTCCAATGTAAGGGACATTCTTCCCACTGACCACCAATGTAAGGGACATTCTTCCCACTGACCCCCAATGTAAGGGACATTCTTCCCACTGATCACCAATGTAAGGAGCATTCTTCCCACTGACCCCCAATGTAAGGGACATTCTTCCCACTGACCACCAATGTAAGGGACATTCTTCCCTCTGACCACCAATGTAAGGGACATTCTTCCCTCTGACCGCCGTTTCCTGTACTGTTGGTGTCAGTGTCTCCAGAACGTCAGTCACATTTTCTTAGTCTTGCATGGATTGGGGAAGAATTAAAGCCAGAGACAGGTAGAAGCTTTTCATATTGTTCCAGAAGCTTCCACTGACCAGTCTCTCTGCTTTCACTTCACAACTCCAAGTAATAGGCGTCGGGCTGCATGGAAAGACCACCATTTTTTTTAAGTCATTTTTTTATTTTAAACGTAGAGAAAGTTCACGTCGGAGTCAGGGGCGGACTGACAACTCATGGGGCCCCCGGGCAATAGGGGACCATGGGGCCCCTGTGTCCTTGCCTAAAAGCCTATGAAAAAGGTACCAGGGGCATCTCATGGGGCCGCCTACTGACCCCGGGCCCTCGGGCAGTGCCCAAGTTTCCAAATGGTCAGTCCGCCCCTGGACGGAGTGGAGTAACACAATACGGCAAATCCAGGAAATAGAAGTTCAGATTACAGATCACAGAGGATGGAGAAATCATTAAATCTGAAGACATTGAAGAAGCTCAAATCCATATCCAATAGTCTGATCCCAGCCAATGATGGTCTAAAGACAAGTCAATGTAATGAGATATGACCATGGGGGGGGGGGGGTGATATACACTGATATGTGATTAACAACTTGTGGACCAACCACTATACATATTTCCAGTCCGCTCCTCCATTGTTTCAGGACAATGTCACATTCGCAGTCACCCATTGTTTTCTCCAACGCTATGACTTCCTAGGGTCCTCATCTCCATCTAGCAGCCAACATGGGGCATATTTTCCTGAGGTACCTCAATCAGAAGATATACTGGATGGTCACCACTAGATGGAGCTGACAATTTACACCAATCAGCCATTGCTTTGTGACCATTCACCAAATATTGGGTAGGCCCCCTTTCCTGACCCATCTCAGCATGGACTCCACTAGACCTCTGAAGGTGGTATCTGTGGTATCTGGCACCAAGCCGTCAGTAGCAGACCCTGTAAGTTGTGAAGTGGTACCTCCATGGATCGGACTTGTTTTTCCAGCACATCCCACAGATGCCCTATTGGATCTGGAGAAGAATTTGGAGGCCAAGTCAACAACTCAAACTCGTGTTCCTCAAACCATTCCTAAACCATTTTTGCAGTGTGGCAGGGCCCATTATCCTGCTGAAAGAGGTCACTGCCATCAGGGAATGCTGTTTCCATGAAGGGGTGGACTTGGTCACCAGCAATGTTCAGGTAGGTGGTCCATGTCAAAGTGCCATCCATATGAATGGCAGGTTTCCCAGCAGAAGCAACTTGTGGACCAACCACTATACATATTTCCAGTCCGCTCCTCCATTGTTTCAGGACAATGTCACATTCGCAGTCACCCATTGTTTTCTCCAACGCTATGACTTCCTAGGGTCCTCATCTCCATCTAGCAGCCAACATGGGGCATATTTTCCTGAGGTACCTCAATCAGAAGATATACTGGATGGTCACCACTAGATGGAGCTGACAATTTACACCAATCAGCCATTGCTTTGTGACCATTCACCAAATATTGGGTAGGCCCCCTTTCCTGACCCATCTCAGCATGGACTCCACTAGACCTCTGAAGGTGGTATCTGTGGTATCTGGCACCAAGCCGTCAGTAGCAGACCCTGTAAGTTGTGAAGTGGTACCTCCATGGATCGGACTTGTTTTTCCAGCACATCCCACAGATACCCTATTGGATTGAGATTTGGAGAATTTGGAGGCCAAGTCAACACCTCAAACCATTCTTGAACCATTTCTGCAGTGTGGCAGGGCGCATTATCCTGCTGAAAGAGGCCAATGCCATCAGGGAATGCTGTTTCCATGAAGGGGTGGACTTGGTCACCAGCAATGTTTAGGTAGGTGGTCCGTGTCAAAGTGCCATCCATATGAATGGCTGGTTTCCCAGCAGAACATCGCCTAAAGTACCACACTGCCTCCGCCGGCTTGCCTTCTTCCCATACTGCATCCCGGTGCCATCTCCTACCCAGGTAAGTGACGCATACCCACCCCACCATCCACATGATGGAAAAGAAAACAGGATCCATCAGACCAGGCCACCTTCTTCCATTAAAGTAATGGCAAACCCAGATACTCCTGTGCTTAGGGATGGACTCTGTATGGATTAGGACCACATCAGAATGTCTTGGGATATGGACGCCTTGCTGCCCTCAAAAGACCAGGGAAGTCCAAATGTACTAAGTAGAGATAAACAAACAAAGGGCGCACCGGCCTAGTGCGTTACCTTCTTCCATTGCTCCGTGGTCCAGTTCTGATGCTCACGTGATGCTCTTGACTGTGGACATGGGTCGGCATGGCCACCCTGACCAGTCTGCGGCTACACAGCCCCATACACAACAAACTGGGATGAACATTTTTTCTGCTTTCAACACATAACTTCAGGGACAACATGTTCACTCGCTGCCTAATATATCCGACAGACTTTCAAATGCCGATGTTTTTCACTTTACCTGTCAGCAGTGGTGTCCCGAGGCAGATGCGGGGGGGTGCGGCCCGCACTGGGTGACACCGACCGCATGGGGTGACACCGGACCCGCTCCACGAAAAGGTAAATTGAAAAGCAAGCTCGGATCCATCCTGTGGGGATCACCAGCTTTCTTTACAACTTACCTTTTCGTGGAGCGGGTCCGGTGTCCCCCCGTATAGGTTGCATGCCGACGATCCCCGCAGGATGGATGGGATCTGCGGATTGGGGAGCATAATGGATCAGAGTCTGATCCAGGGGCGGACTGACCATTTGGAAACTCGGGCACTGCCCGAGGGCCCGGGGTCAGTAGGGGGCCCCATGAGATGCCCCTGGTACCTTTTTCATAGGCTTTTTTGAGTTTGGGCAAGGACACAGGGGCCCCATGATCCCCTATTGCCCGGAGGCCCCATGAGTTGTCAGTCCGCCCCTGGTTCCATCCGTTATGCTCAATCCGCAGATACGATCCATCCTGCGGGGGTCGTCGGCAGAGGCGGACTGACAACTTATTATGGGGCCCCCGGGCAATAGGGGATCATGGGGCCCCTGTGTCCTTGCCCACACTCAAACCACACCAAAAAAAAGCCTAAGAAAGGTACCAGGGGCATCTCATGGGGCCCTCTTCTGACCTTGGGCCCTCGGGCAGTGCCCGAGTTCCCAAATGGTCAGTCCGCCCCTGGTCGTCGGCATGCAACCTATACGGGGTGACACCGGACCAGCTCCAGGAAATGGTAAGTTGTAAAGAAAGCCAACTATCCCCGCAGGATGGATCGGAGTCCGATCCATTATGCTCAATCCGCAGATCCGATCCATTCTGCGGGGATTGTCGGAGGGGGTGTCACCAAGTGTTACCGCACCGGGTGACACCAACCCTAGGGGCGCCCCTGCCTGTCAGTGGCCATAAAGTTTTGGCTGATCACTGTACATCCATTATACTGCCTGTTTGAACATACAATATCCACTAGAGGGCAGCAGACACCCAATAGATCAGTGTGAATCCTCTATGGCCGGAGACAATGCTCAGTCAATATCTGACTCCAATGTTACTGGAAATGAACAAATTCTGCCGTCTTCTCTGCCAATATAAAAATGGAATTTCTCATTTATTTAGTAAAAAGGATCGATCGGGTCAATGCGTCTCCAGGATTGCGGTGCACCAAGAGCAGAATGCTCATGATCCGGGGATTCGATAAAAGGCAAATCTGGAACGGAAGAAAACATGTCGGAGAAGATTTTTAAAAATTAGGTGCAAGTATTATCACAAGAGAGCTGACGACTTGCTGCCCAGGGGCCCCGTAGTGGGCCCCTGCCTATACTAGCCCTGTAGGAACAGACGAACCCAGTTCACCGTCCAACCAAAGTCATTGTAGGGTGGACACACCCTTTAAGTACATTTTTATGGCAATCGCTGGTCTTTGTAGTTGTTTATTCTACACCACCGGCATCTATGTTCTATACCGCCTTCCTCTATGTTCCACACCACGTTCGTCTATGTTCTATACCGCCTTCCTCTATGTTCTACACACACCACGTTCGTCTATGTTCTATACCGAATTCCTCTATGTTCCACACCACGTTCGTCTATGTTCTACGCCACGTTCATCTATGTTCTACGCCACGTTCATCTATGTTCCACACCACGTTCGTCTATGTTCTACACCACATTCGTCTATGTTCTACACCACGTTCGTCTATGTTCTACACCATTCTATGTTCTACACCACATTCGTCTATGTTCTACACACGCCACGTTCATCTATGTTCTACACCACGTTCGTCTATGTTCTACACCACCTTTGTCTATGTTCTACTACGCACGTTCACTATGTTCGTCTATGTTCTACACCACTTCGTCTATGTTCTACATCGCCACCACATTCTATGTTCTACACCACGTTCTATGTTCTACCACATTTCTATACCGACATTCCTCTATGTTCTACACCACCTTCGTCTATGTTCTACCAACGTTCGTCTATGTTCTACTACGCCACGTTCGTCTATGTTCTACACCACATTCGTCTATGTTCTACACCGCCTTCGTCTATGTTCTACACCACATTCGTCTATGTTCTACACCACATTCGTCTATGTTCTACACCGCCTTCATCTATGTTCACACCACATTCGTCTATGTTCTACCACACCGCCTTCATCTATGTTCTACACCGCCATTCATCTATGTTCTACAACACCACATTCGTCTATGTTCTACACCGCCTTCATCTATGTTCTACACCGCCTTCGTTCATCTATGTTTCTACACCACATTCGTCTATGTTCTACACCGCCTTCATCTATGTTCCCACACCACATTCGTCTATTCATTCTATGTTTACACACCACATTCGTCTATGTTCTACATGTTCTACACCACTTCGTCTATGTTCTACACCACATTCGTCTATGTTCTACACCACATTCGTCTATGTTCTACACCAATTCTACCCACGTTCGTCTATGTTCTACACCACGTTCGTCTATGTTTCTACACCACG